TGGAAAGAAAGTGGGTGATTTAGCTAACCTGCCTTTAAAAATCTTCGCTAATGATCCGGGCATAATGACTCATCGAAACACCTCGGGAACCGCTTTCCATTTGAAAAGAACCACTTCAGGTGTTAAATGGGTAATTTGATCAATTCACAACACTTCTAGGAATGCCCCTTCGCAGTTGCTGGAGGACTAAAAGCATCACTTCCTCACTCATGTCAGGCATTACTGATGGTTCTTAGTACGGTTACCTCAAGCATGATACCCTCGATTCAGGCAAATCTGTCTAAGAAACAAAACTGGATGTGCTTGCTGTGGAAGCCAATTCCAATGATCCTTGTAGAGAAGGGGATATTCTGGAAGACATGTATTACCGCTAAATGGTAGGCTTCCTTTTGTTGCGTGAACTTCTCTTATCTTCATCATCATCGTGGTGATGGAAGACGCATTACGGCTGAAGCGAAATGGTGTTTACGAGGTGAAGTGGGATTAACACGCAGTACACCATTCTGACGGTGTAATCCTCCCGTCTCTTAAATTAGCTAGGATTAAACTGCCCCTTTAATAATGATGACTTTTGATGCTGCCCTGTAATGTCAACCCTCCCATTTTGATCTGGAGAAGGGAGGTTAGAAATGCTTTTAACTTATGCCCCGATGGACCCTTGCCTCTTTGGCAGGAGATGGCCTGAAAAACAAATAGTAAGCTATACTACCTAGTGGAAGTACAATCTATTTAGAGTGCGAAGTCCGCTTAGGCGAATGCACATTAGAACAAATTGCAGGTTGCTACAAAAATATCGTTTAATTAGTCTTGATGACTTAAATCTTATTGGAGAGGAGGCGTAAGTGCCACTCATCAGATGTATCGAAAAGAGACGTATGCATAAACACTCGAGCAAGCAAACAACCGGGCAGGCGGCAAGGGAGCAGGCAGGCAATTAATGCGGAAGCACGCATGACTCCTTCCAATTCCCAGGAGGGAGCAAGAGAGAGGGTGGGGAGGGGAGGAGGGAAGAGCTCTTCCGTTAGATTACTGGGAGCGATAGGAGGCGAGTCCATAGGGGAAAGGGTAGGACCCAGGGGCAGAATTGAGCTGTCAAAGTGGTGTGTTTGTGTGTGTGTGTTTGCTTCAATGCTTGCATGCGGGCTAAGTGGTTATAATTAGAGGGTGGGTGGGTGAGTAGGTGAGTAGGAAAGTAGGTAGGTGGTTGTGTGTGTGCGTGTTGATTTACAAATGCAGCCACAATGGGCACAGGCGAGAATGCGGAAATGAGTAAGCTCGATTGTATCGTATAAAAACCAATTTGTTTAAAACGTGCCCACATTAACGCCCACTTGGGAGGAGCGTCAAGTGGGACGGGTTGGTAAAATAGCAATTGAAAGAATTGGGAAGTTACTTTGATGTACGAGGGCGAATTTCGTTTTAGGCGGTACCAATTTCTCACTTAATTCATGCATAATGGACGCATTCAAACAAAACAAACGCGATGTCACCTTAGCTGCCAGATTGAGTTGAATGTCAGAAGAGAATACAACTTTGATAGACCTACAGTTGCGGGACTCTTCCATCCACAGTATAACGCATTGGCTTGTTACTCATAGATCAAAATTTATCCACCATTAACTCCAATGCAGCGCCCCTTGAGGTACCTAGGAGAAAAAGGTAGCTATAAAGCATTTTGTACCATGACAGGTCACGCCTAGCCTCAGTGAATCTATAGTCATGCCCGTCGTAGAGCATTGAACCATCTGAAGGAGCATAAATATAGTTTGCGTCTACAATGAAGGTCAAAAGGAGAAAGTATCTCACAAGCAAGTCACAATGCATAGGAGAAGGCAATACAAGTAGGATGTATTGGAATATAAAACAGGCAATTTATCGTGACATGATTGCATGCACAACTGAGGGAACCCTCTTCTCTTTGTAGATGGTACTTCTGAAAGAGACCAACAAATAAACTTGAGCGCAAATATGGCTTATTGCAATTTCAGGAAAGACTCCAAGAGCAACATTTATAACAGTGGCAAGATATCCCAATCCAAGTGAATAGCAGTCCAATTTTTAGGGTCGGTTACCTATTGTAAATGTATAGAAGAGGGGTACTTGCTGTTGTCTCATGGCGTGACCTACATCGAAAGTTGTCACTAGGATATGGCATTCCACTAAGTGTTGTACTTACTATATGATCTTGATTCCATCCAGTAATGGGCATCAGTAAAAAGAGGGAATATTTACGGTTAAAACAGAAGGGTGACCACTGGGAGCGGCAGGGACTGTGCTGACGGGGAGGGACTGTGACTTGTAATGACATCACGTTTAAGGGCACAAATAAATATAGACTCGCAATATACCCCGTAATTTTTACTTCCTCCATAGCATCTTGGCATTTCCAATCACCAATAATAAGTTCCCTTTCGTACAGGTAGAGTTTATCAGGACTTGAAAGGCTCTTAAAGTCTGACACTTGATTACCTATGTAATTGCAAATTAATTTTGCTACTTGACAAAATTTTACAAAATAGGTGGAATTTAAGCATAATGATAAAATGTGGTTAATATTGTATTGCTAATGCTTGTCTATTGTTTGATATCATTAAATAAGTAATCAGAACGCAACACCATAGCAAATTAGCCAATTGAGAAATAGTTTTATAACTTGCACATGATTTCACCCCACCAGTTTGGTTAACTTTTATCGAATGGTTATTTGCACAAAAGTGGAAATTTTACAACATATTTGACATTGGAAGTGCTAGCCTGTATGAGCCAGCCCGAATGCTCATCGCGACGGTGTCAAAGTTGCTTGCAAATGCAAGAATAGCGAGTGTGTCTGGAATTCGTAAGTCAGAAAAGATAGTGCCGATCTTTTAGATACAAGCACAACTTCTTACGGATTTTGGTACACAAAGTTACATCGCTTAAAGCAACCTAAGATTCAACGGAAGAACGCGCCTGTGTTTAGCTTTGATTGTACGACAAACTCATTTCTAGCCAGATCTAGGGGAACACAAGCGATTTCAGCGAACTGATCCAAAGTCCCTCATATTAGGCACTGAAGAACTACCCGGGTTCCAGGCGTATGTGACTTGTGCTATTCCTTCATCGTTTCAATGTTCAGGCTAAATGATGAACAGAAAAAAGTCTTTACGTACGGCTGCAACTCTCTGGTAATGTAACATGCCATCATAACTTAAGTCTCAGTCTTATGACTATCACCACCAATTGGTTAGGTTTATGAGCACCTACGGCAAACATCCCACTGATGATTCTCTGCTCGCGAAAGGTATTTAGAAGTTCTTTAGTTTCACCTCTGTAGTGTTGAACATATCCTTCAAGATATGGTACAATAAGTATCTGCTCGAAAAGTTCCCAAGGGTAATTACTGACCTCGCAGCATTAATAAGTCTTCTAGGTAATCACACTAAGAGGAGCAACGGAATCCTTGGTTCAGCGAAGAATGCGGCTCCTACGTCGGTTACGAGCCCTCAACAAAGAGGACTACAAGAAAGCGCTGGAGGCATTGAACCTTAACACCATCCGTCACCTCAACCCCTTTGACTTTGGACAGGGATCGGAGGAGGATGAACGGAAGAAGAAGGTGAGGAATGAGTGCTATCAGGTAAAGCTGAATTTTTGCCATGAGTGAAATAACCTGATTTAGCAACGATTGGCTCGGCTAGCACGATTTAAGAAGGATCTCGCTGCAGCGAGGGAAGAGTTTTACGAGAGGAAGGAAAAAGACCTAAATGAGCTGGTGGACAAGCTGGCCAGTCTCGGTTTGGAAAGGAGCGATGCAGAAGCCAAATTGCGCGATCTTTTTCATATCGTGATCAAGGAACGCCAAGAAGAAACGCTGGTGCCAACCCAGGTGGACAAACTACACTGGTACGCAAAAGAACGAGTGCTGAGGCGACATGTGATTAACTCACTCCTTGAAAAAGAGGCTAGACAGCTGCGCTCAAGACGGAAATAGATGTACATGAACGCCGTCAACGTAAAGACAACATCCATGTTTTCTAAAGCGACTTCTCACTGTGGGACATCCCTTAAGGTCCTGGCCACATCTGTGAACTCTGGACAAGTCACATGCCAAGAAGTAATTTCGTAATGTAGCAAAGTGTATTTACAAATATGTGGGGGATCATGCGTCAGTACGCTCGGGCGGTGGGCCACATGGCTGAAGCATTCTCTCCATCAGATTAAAACGAATTCGTGCTTTGGATTCATTTTCACAAAGGGCCAAGTAGTTAAGCAGATCAAAGTGTCCCATGTAAGACGAGCAGGTGTCGCGATGTTGATTCGTCAGCCATTCCCACTTTATAGTATCAGCATGACCGGTTCCTAGAAAAGTAACTTCTCAAGTGCCCACCTCACCAACATATTTTGATTGAAGGTGCTCGAGTTGTGTGTGGATGTTGTACCGATCACCCATTTTAGCAATTTCGTGAGCGGCAGGACTGTGTCTGGCGCTCACGTTCCGGTAACTTAAAACAATCAGTAATATGTAAACATTTTAAATTTAGCCCTAAAAAATCAGGGTTAACAGAGTCTTCATGCCAGGATCTATGTATCTGCTGTATAGAATTAGAATATGGATGGATTATGATGGGATAACGCCGAAGATGTTAAAAGAGTCAACTTTTTGGAGCAGCATATATGATACACTCCTATTTTTTTATTATGTATTATTGCTTCATCTACTGCGGGGTTTTTCAGACAAATGCCTAAAGAATTTAAGAGCTTATACCTTTGGCAGATGAAGCTCACTTTTATCTATCATGCCTGAGATCACAACCGTTATTTTGCAATAGGGTCTCAAATGACGAATACTCCTCAAGTTTAGTTAGGTAGAGGTTATGCGTCCTACACCGTGTTATTGTTTATAAGGCACTCAGTCATCTCTTGCCTCACACGGAATTTACAAGAGCCGCTATTAGCAGTTTTACACAATTATTCCTTTCCTTTTGGAGACTGTTTTTCAAAGAGGCGGGATGGAGGTGAGTCCAAGGGGACCTTTGCCCTCTATTACCCCACTGGCGGTGCCTTGTGCGCCTGAAGTGAGGTTGAGCAGCTTGGACTGCGCTGTGGCAGGGTTAAAGGGTGAGATGAGTGAGACATTCACACCCACCGGCTTGATCCCTATGTTATCGGGGTGACTCGTCTCCTCCATTAGCTTCTCCTGGCATGTCCGCCATAGATCCGTATAGGCCTATGGACACACAAAAGAGCCTATTTCAAGTCATTATTAATCGGCTGACTAACTCCACCTGGCTGGTTATCTGCCCCTGATGTATGGTATAAAGTCTATCAGTGGGAAAAAGATGGCTGGGGAATGTTGCATCAATCAGAGCAGTATTTCTTTAAGCGCCGAGTACTACGAACAGAAAGTACCTGTGTTTATGCTATAGAATAATTTCATCTCCACCGGTAGGTTTATTTAGTATGGAGCTAAAGTTATCTTTTATGGAGTCATCAATGCAGGAATTGAAAGGTTGGTACCTACTAACAACTATCCTCTATCTCATATAGAAGTAACCGTATTTTTTCAAGCTTTCTACAATAAAAGATACGGAGGGGAATAGAAAGCATACCTTTGCCACACGTGAAACTTCATATTGCAGTTCCCTGATGGCTGTGTTCTTTTTGTTCAGCAATTCCTGCATTCGAAACAAGAGTAGAAATCAAATTTAGGTGTCACCAAATTAAAGTCTTTAAGGCAGTGATGATATACAATGGTAACCTGGCTAACAAGCACACATTTTCTGGATAGTCGAGAGACCAAAAATGCTCCAAGAACCAGAGACACGCACCTCAAGATTTTTGCGCGACTCCTTTACAGCCTCCGGGTCCGCATTCGTGGCCATGATGAGGGTATGCACCTCCGTCTCCTTGGCCTCCAAAATCGCCACTAGATGGGTTAGTTTCTTCTCCAGAATTGCACTCCTTACACCAGCCTTTCTCTTGATCTCCAACAAAGTCATTTCCATCCTCTCTGTCAGACGTTTTTTCTCAGCTTCCAGCTGTAAAAAGCAGATTGATGCAAGATTTTAGTACTTTGTTCTTTTATTCTACATTATCACGTTGGTCATCGGAGTACCAATGCAAACATGAACTACCACAAACAAAGCAAATGCCTTAATGTTGAATCAGGTGACATTCTTTGACATTTTTTGACCGAACCGAACATAAGCTGATGAGAAATACACGAAACATACTTGTGACACTGGAGTTAGGCAAGCATATCACGGATGGAAGCAAAATTGAAGACGTTGATAGGAAAATATTTGACGAGAAGGACTTACTTCTTCGAGTCTTGCCTGTGCTATATTGTAGAGCATTTCGTTGTTTGCTTTTGTTTTGTTCGCAAGACGCAAATTAGCTTTTGTCACCTAAAATGCACATACATATACACACACAAGTACTTACGATCTTCGGGCGTCTATCCATTCCATTAGCTGCTGTATAATCCCACGTACATTTTACATGGCTTCTTCCACACCCGGATAAGTAATTAAAATGAAGCGCTGCAGTAATAAGTAGTATCACTTGTTAGGCAGCAGCTCATTATAGTTCTACTGGGAAAGAAGCCTCCTCATATCACTCTCACACTCCGTTTCCAGGCATCGCAAACTTATTTGAACAATCTTGAATCTCAAAATGGAGAAACAAGAACCGAAACTGCAGTCACCCCAGCCACGTATATTGCCTTAATTTAGGCATAACTTACGTTGTGTGCAGACTTTTCTGATTCGAAGAGATGTGCAATTTTTCGGAGATTCTTATTCTGCTCTTCTGATTCCCCTAATTTCTGCTTATACTGCGCGGTCTGTGATTGGCTCAACTCAAGGTCACGTTGCATACGAACCAGACTCGAACGTAGTTCTTCAATGCTCTCCTACAGGAGTGGACAACAGAGCCAAATGGAGAAGACAGACTGAGTGACCTACTTTAAGGGTCTTAATGACATTGACATTGCCAAGGGTGATATCATTGTAGTAGCTCTTCATGTTGTTGAAGGCCTTATCATGAGCCGTTTCGAGTTGCTTGATGTGGAGGTTCTTGCGCTCCTCAGTGGCGTGAATTTCGCTCACGCGCTGGGTCTCCAGATCTTCTCGCAACTGGGCAGCTTGCTTTGCTGTTCTCTGTTCCAGCTCCTCAGCTTGGAGAATGAAGTCCTGCCGCAAGGCTGTCATCTACAACACAATATACAGGCACACATGGACTAGAATCCTCACTTCTAAATTTGTATCAACTCACTCCAACAACGTGTCTGTTGGCGTAGCTAAGCAAAATAGACATTACGGTAAGTGCTTTGCAAGAGGAATGGTGTCGGGATAGGAACAAATGTAGAAGACCAAATAATCTCACCTCAGTTTCATGTTGCTTCTTCAACATCTTGACTGCCTCCTCGGACTCCAATTGTCGAAGTCGCATTTGGGCTTTCAGGGTGTAGTTCTCATTTAACAGTTCCCTCACCTCTACTCTCATCTCCTCCGCCTTCGTATTTAATGTCACCGCAGTGTCATGGCGGATATCCACTTGTCTCGCGTTTTCTTCAAACAGCAGGTGCTTCACCTTCTGTCGATAAACTCGCATCTCCATTTGGTGTCTCTCTTCGGCATCCTCCAGTTCTCGCTCCTTCTTTCGCAACAGACCCCTCGCATCTTCAACTTGCTGACGGCACGTCTCCCAAAAGGTTGTCACCTTGTCCCTCTCCAGAGCTGTCTTGTTGCGCTCGGCACGTTCGCGTTCCAGTTCTGCGCGAAGCAACACCACGTACTCCTCGATCTCCTCCTTGGACATCTCAGAGGTCACCACTCCGTGAATAACTGTAGCGGTCTTCTTCTTCTTCTCGTTCTTTGATTTTGCCTGCGTTATTACACATACACACATAAGATGTTTCCATCACCGTGGAAAGCCAAAATCTTGCGCTAGTCTTTACTAGACAACGTATATTTCTGTATAGACTGCACGGACCTTTCTGCCTCTCGGCTGCATGACGACTTCGTCACGTCTAAAGCTTCCCAGTTATTCTGTAAATTAATGGTAAGGCGCTGGTCACCACTGCCTATGCCCCATTACGAAATCAGGGATGACGAAATGCCGCATTTATAGATACGGGAAGGCCAGTTAACACAAGTCCTACTCAATATATGATAATGTGTTGATGTCACCCATGGCCAGATATAAATCGACCTTGGAGTAATTTTTACCGAATATATTCAACTACAGCAGTGTATGCTAATTGTTCCTCCTCTGGTTACATTTGGACAAGTTTAGCTACGAGCACAATTGTTGCATATAATATGCTTGCATGATATGTGGGACATTGTAGTAAGTACAGCGCTGGCCCCAAAATCAACTCAAATCCTCGAATCTATTTAAATCAATTCTTCTCCAATAAACTTTGTCCAGAGGAGGATATGCGCTAAAAGACCCTAAATGACATTACAAAGCGTACTTTTGATAGTGATGTTAGAGGAATAAGGGAAAGGAAAAAGGTGATCATATATTTAACTGATGCCTGTTTGCGAAGAACTGGGAACCGTGCAAAATTTCTCCTCTTCACAGTTGTACTTGTGTCTTGGGGGCACAGTATTCCAATATATCAGCAACCCATGCCTCACCCACGCCCTGTAACCTAGCATAAATCACTACTCGCCATTGGTATGCAACATTGCAGCCTGAGGGAAGGTGTGAAACTTCAAAATCTACGTTTGGCCAAGCTTTAAAAGCAGTCCAGTGGAATACGTGGACTAGAATACGCACTAAGATCCTTTCGTAAAAGCCTTACCTCATAGCGTGTTTCCGAATTCAAAGTGGTACATCATAGTAAAATAAAATTTCTGATGTCTATGTCACTAACGCCTTCTAATAATTAAAATAATACTTAAAAAGAAGAAAGGCAGTTGCGCATTATCTTTATGTGCAAAGAGCGTCTGCATACGAAGACCCTAATTAAGTTAATTGAAAAGGGCGCTCAAAAGGGTTGTGATTGCGGTGATTCTTTCGACGAAGAAATATTTGGACCCCCAAATCACCCTATGGCATGGAAATTTACGAATTATGCCTTTAAATCTTGGACGTAGGTGTAGCAAACCTAACATGACATAACACATAGTCACCAAGGACCTTCTAGTGTCTGCCTAAACAATACTGCTTAAAGATGTCCAAAAAGGATTGTCCCAAACTGCAATTTCTACCACAGCTTGGGCGAAAAATCCCACAATTTGCAAGGTAAAAGTAGACAGTGTGTGACTCCACCAGTTGTCTTTTTTCCACGATACGTCATCTTTCAACTTGCCTACCATTTATAAAACCGACTTTTTGTGATATCGCGCGGATTGACCTCGGGTGGTTGATTCCCGAGGGTAGTATATTCATAAATTAAAACAACCAAACATCTAAATTTGGGGTTGCTACTTTGTTTTTGGAAAAAAGCAAGCAGTGCAGACTTAAAATCAAACAAAGTCGCAAAATTAACGCTGTCGATGTCACCAGGTCTAACTTTTGATTGCATCATATTAGATCACTGTACCTTTGAACTTGTAGCGGCATGTAATTCACATAACTTATTTTAAAGGCTATTAATTAAGCCCTAAAACTAAACAAACAAAAAACTTAAGCCAAGTTTTCTGTGTTTGCTAAAAAACTGTTAAAAATGAATGAATTTTCGCCTGCGGCAATAAATTAAGTAATTGCGTGGCTGCTAATGTAACACAACAAGGCGATATCCCATCAAATAGGCTCATTTGAGTAATTTTTGGTCTTTTTCGATTTTTAAATGCTATTGATTTATTTTGGATTAATTATCTAAAAACATTTATTCATACCTTGTTTGCAGGTTATGTGTGTAGATATCCGGAAAATGTCCCAATCACGAAGTTTCCGCTTTCTGTTCCTACTGGAAAACACATGAGGACAGATTAATTGCAAAGGAAAATGTATCTATCTCGCCTATTGATCCCGAACTATTTTGTGCTTTGCTGATAAACCCTCAGTCCACATATGCGGAGATGCGAATTCTTCTGTTATTCGCCATTCTAGGTAAGTGATGCAATCCATCGATTCAAACCTCGTTCCATTTTATTGAAGAGAATTATACGAATCGAGTGCCGTTTGGAGGCATGAGAGAGTGTTTCAAGGCTAGTTCAACATGTTTAACCACATTACATGGGAATGATCAGGCACATTTTTATAAAACGCATTTCAGCTACATCATGCCGCTCGTGTAAACGGTGTAGAGGATATTTTCAGGCGTGTAAATCAGACAAGGATTGCTGTGAGGGCTTCGACTGCTACCAAATTGGGAGTTACCATTACCGAATGCAGTGCCTGCCGTGGTGAGTTGTGTAGTCATTTAGCATGAAGGTCATTCTGACCAAAATTGAACGTCTACATGAGTTTACTTTTGAAGGAGTCCATGGCATATGTGAGATAAATGGAAGTGTTATGTTTTGAAGGCGCTTATAAATTCATTTGGAGTCCAATACCACGGTGTCTTAGTGACCTAAATCGGTGGCACTAGAACATGTACCGTTGAGCCGACTCCTAGCTAATATTCATTTCGTCTCCACTTATCGCCGAACTACCATAACAGTGTGAATGAGTTCTTTTGCAACAGCCTAAAAAAACCAACTGCGAATGGAACTTGTCATCCTTTACAAATCTGGCGACTGGTCCGGCCTGACGTGACCTCTGTGCGAGCAACAATTGACGGACTTGCAAAACCAAACTAGGCCCAATGAATACGATTTTACAATAGGCCTCACCTTTTACCCTGATCCCATTTTAGTCCCTCCATTGGATGCGCGTATTTCTCGGAGGCACCTCAAGCACCTCAACGCAAAGCTGATGAGAGCAGGTGAAGTGTATTTCAAGGCTTTGACACATCACGATTTCCTTATGGAACGATTTTCTTCTGGGTTCTTTTCTTGGTTACAAATCGGTTAATTAAAGATAAGGAGATAAAAAAAGAGAAATGTGAAGAATATATTAGAGATATCAAGGCAGTTGGGGGGGGGGGGGAGGAGCATTAGATGGATGGTTAGAATGGAAGGAGGGAGGGAATATAAGTGTCTCCACTTGAAGCTAATTTCAATTAACCTCATTTAGGAGTGAGTCAGGTATGAAAGCGCTTTGATTGCAAGGTTTGGCAAAGTTGACCCACCGAACATGGCTACAGCTTAAAAAATTGCCTCGCAGCCAAGATGAGCTGAGCTAAGTCACATAGTAGTGAGAAGGGGAATGAAGAACAGACTAGAAAGGAGAGTAGAAGTGGGGTGGAGAGGATCGATTGGGGAGAAAAAGTCAGACCCTCCTTCGAGGGTCGTCTATGTCAGCAAATCACCGTGATTGGTGTGGCCAACAAGGACAGCTACGCAGGCAGTGAGACCCAGTCATGACCAAATGGGATGACACGTATAGAATCGAGCAGCACACGTTCTGCGACGAGCTGCATGTTGTGCCTCACCCACTCATTGTACACTCTGTCCTACTCACTAAGGTTCCCCTCAACCCTAAAACCACACACACGATTATAAATTTTAGAGGGAGGAGAATGGCGAGGATTATTTTGGCGCTTTTACGCACATACAAGGAATCGCCTCCATCTTTCTCAGCTTCATGGGCGTGGCCAAAAGCAAGATGGAAGCAATTCCAAACCTAAATGCACTTAGATTACACGTCCAGAGCACTAAATTCACAAACACATACAACATTCAGTTCACTATACTGGTCATTGCATCCCTTGAATATTCTCGTCTATGCTTTTTGGATCTGCCTCTACGCCTTGCAGGCAGAGTTAGACGCCTTTTTTTGGAGCTGCAAACGGCAGGATACTTGGAAAGAGGAAGTGAGTAACCAAGTACGTCCACACCTCCATTCACAATCATCCGTTAAAGGGATACGAAGGTTAACAAGCTTGATTCAGGGATGAGCCTCTGCTATAGCCATCTGGATCGCGTTTGCAGTAGAGAAATCGACTACAAAGGCTTTGTGCACAGCTCCATTTGTCCTCATGTCGATGATTCCACTGAATTCGACCAGAGGGACACAGGATATTCTTTTCCCTTAGTTGAAGGGCACGGTAGTGAATAACCAACCAACAACCAGTTTTTACACCGTTTGAAGCCCCCTGTCTTTAGGCCAATAGACGAATAAAGGGGTTAGATGACAGTTGACAGTGACAATGGCAGATGACAGATGACAATGACAGTTTAACCCAATTCGAAACTAGCAGAAATGCAGGTCGCAAGACGATGCATTCCTCAATCAGTTGATGATGTCGCGCCTCTAGAACAGCATCCACGTCTCGCAATGTGATCATGTTCATGGGGACCATGCCTCGCGGCTTTTCACCCTCCACATTCCAGAATCAGGTTCCCAACTGGAACGCTGCCGTGGGGAGGGAGGTGCACCATCAAAGCCTGCTGCGCAGGCGAAGAGTTCCGATTAATAATAAAAGGGATAACTCATCCACTTCTCGTCTACCACCAGTACCAACACCTTCACCCTCGGTCCCCACTTTCCGTCCTTGCCAACTCCACAAGAAAGGCTCTACCAGTGGTAAAAGCCCTAATTTCTTCCCTCCTTCCAGGTCTCAGGTCACAGGCAACATGTCTCTTCACGCATGATACAGCCCAAAATACACTTCATCACATCGTTCCGAAACTGGTGGTGTTTCCATCGATAGACTACACTCAACGTCCTTCTAGCTCCATAACCATCCCACTAGTCATGCAAGGAATTGAGCAGTGAAATCATTCATGCACTCGTTGCAGCCGCAGATTGCAAACATCCGGTAAAAAGAAGTTTACATTTTGAACGCATAACACCGTCCACCATCCACTTCCTTCTCCGCCTACTCTCCTTCCTTTCATTCAAGTTCTTCACCTCACTTCAGCCAACAGTCTTGGCCATTTGGTTGACTCACTGCCGCCAACTTAGGTAAATTGCAAAAATTCCACACATTCTGAGGACAGAAGGCCTCTTACCGTGTGCTTTTCTTTCACTTCTACAACTCTCCCTTCGTCCCTGTGTCTTCATCATTTAAGCCGAACGGCATAGAGCATATTATCCATGCATACAGTGTCAAGTTGCGACGACACCTAAGAACAATGCGGACTCAGGAAAGAGACTCCTCAAGTCTTCCGTCAGGAAGAAAGCCGAAGGGTGGACGGCCGTCTTCTTTTTTGTCTTCAACTTGAAGGTTTTCACGTGCACGGGATTAACCTCGATCAAGTGGGGGTAGTTAGCCAGTGTGCGAGTGGCGAGTGGTACCTCCCGAAAAGGCATTAAGCAGAGACATCTCGTCTCGTCTGTACCGCAGTCCCGTGCAAAGCAACAATTGGTGACAACACCGTGCTGGGCCAAGTGTGATCACAACTGACCGTCTGTGTGTTTGTGTGGCAAACCGAAAATATGCGCTTCATCCGAGACGCCGTATCGGTGGTGATGGCCGAGAGAAAGCCTTAGCTTTTAAGTACAAACGAAAAAGAAGTAACACCAAGTCAAATGTTTCTTAAAAATTGACTTTCTAGTCGCTGCCTAATGAGCAAGGAGTAGCAAGGTCCATGAAGCAAAAAATTTGCGAGTGCAGCTACTAAATGGACTTCAGCAACGCATCGTGCTGATTGGTTGAGCCATCACAAGAACTGACCAATAAAGATGACAAAGGTGGCAGCCATTATAGTGTGACACGCACACCGCCATTCAAACGGGGGAGGATGCGATGGAGCGGCGGCTTCCTGTGTCGTCTCTCTCATACGTGGATTGCGCGTAGAGGTGTAAGTTGTTTATGTAAAAGCAGTTTTTTGTGTCGGCACTGATAGGATAGAGGGAAATAGTGCAATACTAGGCGGGACACTTGGATGAGTAACTTGTTTTTACTCCCTTGGTATTTATTCCACCTAAGTAGGTGGGTAGGTGATTCCGCTGAGGGGCCAGGTACGGACGGATATGCCGTTTAAATCAACATTCGAGCAAAATGGTGCCACCTACCTTGGATTTTAAGGTGTGGAAGCGGTGTAGACGACTCACACACCAAAGTCGTAGATAGGCGTGGTGAAGTGGAATAGTGCATTTGAAAAGGAGTAATGTAAACCATTCCATAGAGTGATGATTGATGAGGGATTGAGGGAGGCAGGAAGCCATGAGTGCCAAAACTGTGTAATGGAATGACCGGGTATGTGGTAGGGTGCAAAAATCTTGCCAGAATACGTAATGGGGCAAGCCATTGTGACCACGCTAGAGAGGTCACAGGTACGCAGAAGGAGGAGTGGGAGGGAGCAGTCATGGATAAGGGTTGGCGAGCAGGGGTCTGTGCTGTACGGTGGGAGAGGAGTCTAGAGGGACTGAAGGCCTCAAATGACGAGTTGGCTAAGGGTTCAGCTTTGCCCTCCACGAATCAGCAGCAAGTGGTTTGTGTGTCTTCTTCAACGGTGTAATGTGGAACACGCCCGCATTTCTTCATGCAAGCGGTAGCCATCGCTTCGGGTGTGGATGTAGAGAGGAGCAATAAATCAGGTTGCTGAGTTTTGAATTCACATCTGCTTTATGTTCTATTCCCAGATAACATCAGCAGCTTTGATGGAGAAGTAATGAGTGAACCTGTTTTGTCTTTTCCATTGTGCCAAAAAGGATGAGTGATCTCTACAGCCTGCCATGCGGACGCGCCTTCTACTTGCAACAGAACATTGCATCTACTGCCAGGCAGAGTTTGACTCAGCGAAACTCCGTCCCAACTACAACGTGGGCTTGCAGATCTGTCTGCTCTGGAAGCAACGGAGGTAGGAGCAGGAGTGGGAGCAGAAAGTGGAGAATAGAGGAGCAGGCGATCAGGAGATGTTGAATGAGGGGAGGGGATCGGAGGAACTCCGCTCACCTTCATGCGTTGTAGTAACTTCCGTAGGCAAATGCAGTCTACCACCACCAGGTCTGTGTGCAATGCAGCGAGAAACACCGCGACAGTGTAAGCATTGGTGATTTTCGAACTGCAATGCAAATGACAAGACGTGTGCTTAAACACAGGGTGATGAGTGTTTCATGATCTGTTGCACAAATTTGACAGGCGCCTACGTGGTATGTGATTGCCTTGTGCAGTAATTGTGTTGAAGAGGGCGACTTGAGTACTTTTGTTTAGACTTGTAATGTCGAGGTGGCCGACCAAAGTGCTGCTGGGAGTTGAAGAGGTGTGCTTGACCGCAGACCGATAACATTAAACGTTGGTGTGAATGTTGTAAACGTAAGTGTGGTGTTTGTGCCACGAGTCAGTTCAGCCAGTTGCAATTCTTGTAAAGTGCTAAGGATGTTGACTTATATTACATGCAATTGTGTGGACTTGGTAGCGGACCTGCATCTAGGATTTCTGTCCGCCCTTCTTCCTTCCTTGCTTGCTTTCCTACACGTAGCACTGCCTAGTGCCACGCGCGAAGTTGAATGTCCTGCCTGGGCACAAAGTGAACTTGAAGTCGCGTCTGGAGGAGTAGAGAAGGTGGCAAACCTCGACACTTGGGGTGGGAGAGAATACAAAGGATGGAACTGTTGGTGCTTTGGAGAACGCAGTGTGTGGGCTGCATGTGGTTGTGAGTAAGGCGCTGGATGGGGCCACAACGAGGGTGAATCTGGGGGAATCAGCTGGCTTCGAGATTAGCGATGGATTTGTTCGTTGTGAAACGAACATTTTGACTGAGGTATGGAGGATGCAAGATATCTACACGTGAC